AATATAATTTATATTTAATATAAATTTTAAACGTTTGTAATTTAAATATGGTTTAATACTTATTTTGATTCTTTGTATCGGTAAGTTTATTCGAAGTGATTTTATCTTTTTTTTTCAGATGTTCACAATTATTTCATATTTTGTGAAAATTGTTCAAGTTAATCATTTATGTTTACTGTGTTAAAAAGTATAATTGTCCTTTCACCAAAACTGAATGACCTCCTATCCAGTTATTGATCTGAGGTCAATTGAGGTGTAAATTTTAAAAATAAAAATTAATGACGATTAAAGTTAAAGTTAAAAAAAATTATTATGTTAGAAGTAAACCAACATCAAAGCTTTATTTCAGAAACAGAACTCAAACAACTCCAAAATGCAAGATGACAGATTCCAAAAACTCCAGATGTGCAAGATCAAAATACAATTGCACATAATCCCAAAACATGAAATCAAAAAACAAAACCCCAATTCGAAAACCCTAACCCCTAAATCGCATTAACAATCTGTAAAGGAGAAACATGAGATAAGAAATTCTCAAATCAGAACCCTAAATCCCAAACGAATAACCCTAAAATCTCCAAACCATAAGATGAAGAAGAACCCCAACAATTGCACCACTATGCAGAGTAAACAAAACAGAAACACAGCCCAAGAAAGGAAACTCAATGTTGCAATATCAGAATCCCAAAAATAGAACCAAAATTTGAAGCTTGGATACTAAGTTTGTTTGAGAAAAAGAAAGTCCAAAAAATGGAAGTCAAAGAGTTTCTAAGACTCTAGTTAATGTAAAGGGTAATTGACCTCAATATCATTCAGTTTTGGCTAAAGACAATTGGCTAAGGACAATTACACCCTTAAGCAAAAATGACAAACTTAAACTGTTTTTATAAAAATATAGAACAACTATGAATATTTGGAAATATGTAGGAGCATTTTAAACAATTCTATTAAGGGACCAAAATTAATATTTCTTTTACTAATATATCACTTCTCTTTAAAAAAATCAAACAAAATTCACTTTTTAGATATCATGTATATGTATTTATTCTATTATAAAAAATGAATAATTAAATACATATATTAATTATCGTGGATATCCATTTAATATGTGATTTTATCTCAAATATCCATGTGTATGGATAATTTTTCATTTAAATAAATCTTGGTATTCTTTTTAGTGTAATACATTTTAATGCTTTATTGAAAAAGCACATAGGAAATTACAACTTGTATGACGACTAAACCAACACGTGATTATATAACGAAACCACAAATAAAAAATAAATAAATTGTGAGTAAACAAGAAGCACAGATATACAATTACAGGTTCAGAAATAACATGCTTGTATTAGGTCTGAAGCCTCAAATTCATGGATTTAAAAACTCGAAACTATTCAAAACATTTTTTTTCTTAAGTAGGAATCACATATTCGCATTTATCTCATACTGGATTCAAGTTTAAAGTCTCAACTGAAATTGTAGAAATAAAAAATAAATGAAACTATTTACAGTAATTTACGAATTACATATTCACATTTAACTTACAAAGGTTTCATGTTTAAAACCTCAAAACCACATTTTAGATTTAAAAAATTTAAAGTATTCAAAATTTTCTCTTTAGATTATATAGTATCTTTAATTTAATCATATGTGATTAAGCAGTTAAAAATCACATTAATTTAGACATATGCAAATTAAGTTGACCTTCAGTCAAGAAGATTTTTTATACAATTAAGTTGGAAATCAAGATAGATCTTCCCTCGTAATACTAGAGACATTGGAACGTTATTGGAAGGAGACAATGTTAACGAAAGACGAACTTAAACCATACATCACAAATTATATATCTTTAACATAATTTTTAAGGAGTCTTTATCTTTATATGTTGTTTAACTTTCTAATTTTTATTAAAAATAAAACTCAAAATAACACGTACATGCTTGATGACGAGAGATATAGATCATTAAAACTTATTGTAACTTTTTGTTTTTGTGTTGGAGTTGCTAACGTTCACTTTACAAATTTGTTATTAAACTTATTTTCTCTTTTGTCTTATTTGTTTTGTTTTCATAAGTAGTTTATAATTGTTATAATCTTAGTGAGGTGGGCACCTCGTTATCATCCAGTGGGTTATGTTTTAGTGAGATCTCAATTTATTTTATAGAGATAAAATGAGGTTTATTATTTATTATCATGTGACGTTATAATGTTTTAGTTGTAAGTTACTTACGAAATTCTATACTAAAATAATTCAAATTTGTTTTCCAAATACAATAACTCGTGATTTTTGTATTGAAAATATTTCACAATGCTAAAAATCATGAAGTTATTATCACTTATTCTCTGTCTAAGATTCCATTATTCAAATGCTAAAAATCACCAAGTTACGATCACTCATTTCCTATTTAAGATTCCATTATTCAAATACCAACAAGTTTAAGAAATACGTTTCCTTTTATTATCCAAAACGTGTTTTCTTGGTATTCTATCAAGTAAAATATAATATCGTATTTTACGAAGCAATGGTATAAAATTCTCTTAATACAAGTCTATAAATATCAACAAAGATAAATTTTATATCGTAAAAACCAAAACACCATCACAAAAAATGTCATAAATCAAAAAGATTAAGAATTATTCGAGAACAGACAAACCTTAATCTCAAGTTAAAGTTAAATAAACAAGAGATACAATATTTTGATCAAATGAATTAATTTATTTTTGAAAAGTATATTTACATTTAAAGGTATAGACAAACAACAAATACATTAAGTCCTAATAACATTATATTTAATATAATATCTCAACGTAATCCAAGTTGTTCATAGACAGCTTCAACACAATATTGGATTTAGAAACCAAGATACAAAGCCATATTTCATATAATGAAAACTTATGTTAGTAGTTTGCTTGTTATTAAAGCATGAGTGCTCATAGAAAATATCCATAATAAGTTATTATGTCACTTGTTGATGAGAAAGTGCAACTAGATTCTGAAATCAGTGTCTCATCAGTCCTTTGCCTTTGCCTTTGCCTTTGCTTACAGATGTATGTGGCAAAGATAACTACAGAAAAAAATTATAACAAGGAAGACTCAATGAAGCAATTTAGAAGCATAATAAAGTCATTGAACCACTCCAACTTGGTCTTACAATGATTACTTTATAGTTGAGCATTGGATCCATTTAAAAAGTATGAAAAAGTTGGTGACTTTGTGATGAAGGGTTTTGTGATTACTACCTCTGCTCTCACTTAATGTTTCCTTTGCTTCTATTCTTATAAATCCATGGATAAAGGACCCTACATGCTTTTCTCAATGGCTCCACTTTCAATCTTTGGCTAGAGTGAAAGAAACGTTTGTACACCCTGCTGGAACTTCGACAATACTAACTGCCATTTTCATTATAGCTAGAATAAAAGGACAACCTTATAAAGCATGTAAATCTAAAATATGGTCCATGTTCCGTCTCTTCTGATATGTGAGATGCTAATCAAAATTTTTAGTAAAGTGATACACAACCAGACATCAAAGTACATTTTGGTTGAAAGAATGCATCAATATTATTATTTCTCAATCCTAAACAGAGTGGCACTTCTCATGGCAAAATCTTCCTTTGTTCTTTTCTAAATTAAAATCACTTATTCTTCCTCATTCCTTCCATAAATATCTCAGACAGATCATCTTCTTCATCATGCTGGAAATTTAATTCACTTTTTAATAAATATGAAAAAATTGAATTTATCTTAAAGTTTTATATTAGAAGTGATACCAACTATTTACATTGGAAGGAAGAATACTAATATAAAAATAGCTCATACTTAAAAAACACAAAAATTAAATACGAGTTTAAATATCACATTTGATAGAAATAAAAAAATGTGAAGTATTTTAGTGTTTTGGGTTACAAAAGGTGTGAGTCTTGTGTTTCTCAGTTGACTCAAGCACTTATAACAATAATAAAGGTCATAATAAAACTATCTTTTAAGATGCTGTTATCTTGTAATAAATTTAAGTTTTATCTTTAATTCTTTAGCAGTTAAACATAACTAATTAATTATTAAGTCAAACCCCTTCCTAATTAACCTGAAACAAGTCAGGTTTACGTTTGACAGAAATAAGAATTTTGAAACCAACCATTGATTTTTTAATATTAATTTCAGAAGAAGTTTTCGTGATAGACAGCAGATAAAACTATAATTGATTGATACAATTAGTTAGATACAGGAAATACAAACTTGGGAATTAAGTACAATTTTTTCTTGAATGTGGTAATTTATATTTATAGATAATACAAAGCATCTTGAAAGCGAAAAAGATTATTTGCTTCATGACAAAGCAAGCAATTTAAAAACGACAAAAAGAAAAAAAAGTTACTGTAATAGATAAACCAGTGAAGCCTGGAAGGTGAAGAAGCACTCACACGGCAGATAGACGATACAAATTAGATGTGAATCTATGTTTTATATTTCAATTGAAGCCACTTTAAATATTTTTATTTAAATTGAGAATAAATGTTTACCTGACCTAGACAGAATTGAAAGAAAGAGGAGCAACTCACATGAACCAGCCCGCAATCACGTGCCACTCTGGCTCAAAGCCGAAAAACCCAAAACAGTACCCCACTTGCTCCCACATGCACACTGCGCGTTATATCACGCGCAAACCAAGAGCGTAACGCTTCTGTTTAAAACCTCACTGTCTCGAATCGAAGCGTGTCAGAGCAGGCACACTCCTCCACGCATTAACGGCCGGAAGAGCATCACAGAATCAAAAATTCGCCACGTGGCCGGATGGAAATGAATCAAACGCCATCGAACGGTGATAAATACAAAGAACAAATAAGCCTCACCACGGAGGAACCTTTGTTCAGAAGATTCAAAATTTTCTGTCCGCTTTTCAAATTTTAAATTCCCCCTTAAATCCAACGGCCTCGTCAATTCTCCCGTTAACTTCTCAGGCCCACTTAACGGCGTTACGGATCTGTCCTATAAAAGGCTCTTCGTCTTCTTCTCCATCACAGAGAAGGGTTCACGTTCACTACTTTCTGCGCTTCACTTCTCTATTTCTCCTCGTTGGTGTTTTCTTGAACTCGTGTTTTCAGCGAAGATGCGTGAGATTCTTCATATCCAGGGTGGCCAATGCGGGAACCAGATCGGAGCGAAGTTCTGGGAGGTGGTGTGCGCGGAGCACGGGATTGATTCGACGGGAAGGTACCAGGGGAACAATGAGTTGCAACTGGAGCGAGTGAACGTGTACTACAATGAGGCGAGTTGCGGGAGATTTGTCCCAAGGGCGGTGCTCATGGATCTGGAGCCAGGGACCATGGACAGCGTCAGATCTGGACCCTACGGCCAGATTTTCCGCCCGGATAACTTCGTCTTCGGACAGTCCGGCGCCGGAAACAACTGGGCCAAGGGTCACTATACTGAGGGGGCTGAGTTAATTGACTCCGTTCTTGATGTTGTTAGGAAGGAGGCGGAAAACTGTGACTGCCTTCAAGGTATTCTTACTCAAACTTCTTTTAGGGTTTTGTGTAGTTGAAACTATTCTCATGTTTTGTTGTTGATTTCTTGATTCGTGTTTGTCTGAGTGCTGTTGTATGCTTCGGAGTTAAAATCGGTGGTTTCTGATTTCAAACTGAGGAGTGAAGCTACTGTGTATGTTGAACGAATCTTGATCTGATAACTCGTTTTTGTTTTGATGATTTGTAAGTATAATAAACCTTAGCTTAATTGACTGCCCGTATTGTTGGAGATATTGACAGCGTTTTGTTTCCTCTGTTTCATATATTTTGAAAGTAAAGTTAGTGTAAATTGTGACCTGTGGATGTTGTTCTCTGTATAGTTCATTTAGCTGTTTGTTATTATTTGTTGTTAAGTAATGCCTAGGCTATTGTAAGTTGAGAATTAAGCTATTTTTTGGAAGTATTTTTCTTGCGCAGAATTTGTCGATTGTCAATTTTTCGGTGATTATGTTGCTAAGTGTATGTTGCGTGTATTTTCAGGATTTCAGGTTTGCCACTCTCTCGGTGGTGGAACTGGTTCTGGAATGGGAACACTTTTGATCTCGAAGATCAGGGAAGAGTACCCTGATCGAATGATGCTCACATTTTCGGTGTTCCCATCCCCTAAGGTTTCTGACACTGTTGTTGAGCCATACAATGCAACTCTATCAGTACACCAACTCGTTGAGAATGCAGACGAATGCATGGTTTTGGACAACGAAGCTCTCTATGACATCTGCTTCCGTACCCTTAAGCTCACCACTCCAAGCTGTGAGTTGATTTCATATTCTATTTGCTGTGGTTATTTTGTGTTGTGTTACATAAAGATTATCGCAGTTCTCTGATTTTTATGATTGACATTTTGTATTCGTCATTGTTTCGTAACAGTTGGAGATCTGAATCACCTAATTTCTGCCACCATGAGTGGTGTAACGTGTTGTCTTCGATTCCCTGGTCAACTCAACTCAGATCTTCGCAAACTCGCCGTGAATCTCATTCCCTTTCCTCGTCTGCACTTCTTCATGGTAGGGTTTGCCCCTCTCACTTCCCGTGGATCCCAACAGTACAGGGCTCTCACCGTACCCGAATTGACCCAACAAATGTGGGATGCCAAGAACATGATGTGTGCAGCTGATCCTCGCCATGGTCGTTACTTGACAGCTTCTGCAATGTTCCGTGGTAAGATGAGCACCAAGGAGGTCGACGAGCAAATGATTAATGTCCAGAACAAGAACTCATCCTACTTTGTGGAATGGATCCCCAACAATGTGAAGTCTACTGTTTGTGATATCCCCCCAACTGGGCTCAAGATGGCATCAACCTTTATTGGGAATTCTACATCTATCCAGGAAATGTTCAGGAGGGTGAGTGAGCAATTCACGGCTATGTTCCGCAGAAAGGCTTTCTTGCACTGGTACACCGGCGAGGGTATGGATGAAATGGAGTTTACTGAGGCTGAGAGCAACATGAATGACCTTGTCTCGGAGTACCAGCAATACCAAGATGCAACTGCGGATGATGATGGTTATGAATATGAAGACGAAGAGGATATTCAGGAAGAGGACGAATCTTGAGTAGTGGCTGTTGGAGGGGTGTTCTTGTTTGTGTTTGTTGTGATATTGTGTCGATGTTATGATTTTATCCCTTTGTCCTGAATACCTTTTTCGGGGTTTTGGCTTGTTTTGGGGGCGCTCGCTTCTTTGTGGTTATGGTAGTTTAGGAATTTTATGTCTGCATGTTTTCTCATTATTAACATTGATCCCCCTTTAATTTCTGGAAGATTGAAACTTAGATGATATATATTCTTCAAATATTTGGATATTGCTCTTGCTCTTCTGCTAATGTTTCACTTGTCAATGTTTCACTTGTCAAGTTGTGTGAAGGGTGAAACATTGCGTTGGTTGTTTTATGATGTCTGATTATCCAAGTTACTTAGCAAACATAATTTAAGAACGTTGTGTTAATTCAGAGTTATGATAACTCCAGAAGTTTGTAATTTATCAAACAATTCACTTATAATATTGAATAGTATCTGTATATATTAACAATTTGTTGACAATAGCGTTTGAATTATTTTTTAAAAAATATTTGACACGAATCAAGTCATTACGCTGTCAAAAGAAAAAGGTTTTAGAAACATATTTTTCATTAAAGATATTTTTTATGTACAAGAAAGCCAAATGTGCAGGAGTAGTGTGTGATGGTTGAAGAAATGAAACAAGGTCAGAGTCGAATGATGAAAACTAAGAAAAACGTATTTATGTAAAAGTAGTATTTAGACAGGACAGTATGTTTTAAGACGTTGTTGGAAAATTATGTTGATGATAAATTCAAATTTTTTCATTTAGTTATGTTTTTTAAATATTTTTTATTTAGTAGTTTATAATCGTAGAAAAAGATTAAAAAAATTAAATATTTTTTTTCTCTTTTTTCTACTTAGTCCCACTGCCGTCCTCAAACTTATATTTTATTTCGATTTATTTCCCTTTCATTTAATCCATTATTTTTTAGTTATAAATTGTATTCAAGCTAGGCAACCTAGATGATTAAGTAATATACAATAGTAAATATTAAATTTTATATACAAATTATGATAAACAAATATGGTTAACATATAAATCAGTTTTAAAACTTTATAATAATTTATTTATATTTTATAACATATTTATTAACTAATTTAAGTTAGTTTCATCATTAACAAAATGTGTTTCCTAAGATAACTTAAAATAACATAAAAATAATAACTTATAAAATATAACCTATTATAAATAGTTTGTAAGTTATTTAATTTATTATTATTATTATTATTATTATTATTATTTTATACCTATTACTTTTTATAGTTACTTTAAAAATATAATTAAAAATATTAAATATTTATTTTAATTGTTACATTATTTATAACATTTATTCGTTTACTTTTGAAATAGTTATATGGTTTAAATTAAAAAAGGTAAGTAACTGATATTTTATTAGCTGGAAAAAATATATAATAAAAATTACAATACAAACTTAATGTAATATTAACTTAAAATAAAAATTGAATTTAATTTATAATTAGTAGTTCAAATAATTTAAATAAAATTACTTGTCACGAAATAAAATATATAAAAACAAAAATATTTAAAAAGAAATAGAAACACTAAACTTTTTAATAATAAGTAAATTAATATTTAAAATATCTAAAATTACAATTATACAATGATATAATTTTATTTTAAGAAAGTACTATTTTACTTATGCAATAAAAATTATATACTTATATCATTTTTCGTTTATGATCTAGTTTGTAAATTAAATTTATCAAAAACTTCTAATTTAACAAATTAATTTATTGGTTCAAAACTTACAATTTAAAAGTTGTTAGATATTAATTAGTTTGTCAACTACATAAATATTACTAGCTACCAAATAACTTTTAAGCTATCTTATATCAAACATTTGTTTTTATATTTATTTGATTTCAACTATGTTTTTATGTAGTATAACAATTATTCTTGAAGTTAATTGATATTAAATTAAAATTTGTAAAAAGTAAATTTATATTTTGGTTGGATAAATAATATAAAGAATATATTTTTTTAAAAAAGGATTTGAAATATTTGTATTACCAAATATTGGTTGAATAATAAATTGAGTTTTTAAAAATTTATTAAAATAATTCTAATGATTAAAGTTAGATAATTTTAAAATTTATTTAAAAAACAAGAAGTTCACTTTGATTAAAAACCGGTATATTACTCAAATTTAATATAGAATTTACCTAATTTTCGTTAACTAATTTTTAACTGCAATTTTATTCCGTAAACACAGTATTTTGTCCATGGCTTAATACCTGATTTAGTCGCTTGTACATACAAACTTTGGCAGAGAGAAAAAAAGTAAATAAATTTAATTTGTAAAAAGTTCTGTGTAATTTTTCTAATTTTAATTCGTTTACTCTTTTATTTTTTTCTTCATAAAAGATTCTATAAAAAAAGTTTATAAATAATAATATTAAAAAAATAATAATGACAAATCACCTTTTTTATCTTGACTTATATATATATATATATTTTTTAAATTGTTTAGGTTTATCTCTTAAAATAATTTTTACCCTCCTAATTAAAATTTAATTAATTTATTAACAATTAAAGGAATCTAGTATCAAAATATAAATCTTTATTCATAAACCTAAAATATATTTTACATGTAATAGATATTTTTATAGAATTTAATTATAATAAAATGTATATGAGAAACATTTATTTATAATTATAATTATATTATATTTGTATATTTCATATATTTATTCGTTAAACCCTAACTCTTGAGATTGTGTGCGCGATTTGTTGCTTTGTTCCGTCAGCTCCCCCAACACAACCGCAGCAGCTGCAACAATGGTGAAGCACTACAGACCCCCGGTGAGTAGTGCTTGGCGCTTTTCGCCTTCTCTTTTTGTTTGCACCTTCATCAAATGCGTTCTTTTTCATTTTATGTAAACTTTTTCTAGTTTGCTTCCGGTTTAGTAATTTGATTCATGACTTGTTTTTGTCTTCTTTTTCGGTGGTCTCGACCTAGTGATTGTTGGTTTTGGTAATTTGATTCATGGCTTGTGTTTTTGTCTTCTTTTTCGGTGGTCTCGATGTAGTGATTGTTGGTTGGGTGTGAGTGATTTGTGTAAAAAAGTAATTTTTTTCTAGTTAAGAGGGACCTTTGTTTCATGGTGTAATATAAGGAATTGTATTTCTACAAATGAGTGGTAATATATAGTTTCTGTACAGAATAACTTTCATTCCCTGAAAAATATAATATATGTACCATTTTTCCATAAGAATAAGAAGAGAAGCATGAACATTTGATATTTTCAGTAGTCAACAATTCATGAAAATGTTATTCAAAACCTAACTCAAGGATGTGATATTCCCAAGTTTTATTCCCCGCGAATCCTTTCAGATACCTTGAAATTAACATCCTTGTTATTATTTTAAGAGCTTATTGCTGTTGTTTTGTTGCAGGGGAAGAAAAAGGAAGGAAATGCTGCTAAGTTTGTCATTAGGTCACAGGCACTCAAGCAGCTTCAAATCAGTCTACCCCTTTTCAGGTACTATACAGAAAGGAAAACACGCTCATGTCTATATTAGTTTAAGGTACTATTGTTTGATCAACTTTATCCTTTAATGGTTTAGAGGAGAAGGAGGGTGCCTTTGGGATGAAAATTACACGGCTGAATCATTTATATCTTCTATCGTTACCGATCTGATATCATTGGAATTTGCATCTTTAGGGACTGAAACATTTTGCAAAAGAAGATTTGATTAAGACTTTGATTCTAATACTGGCTTTTTGTGAATTTTAGGAAACTATGTATTTTGAAAGGTGTAACTCCCCGCGAACCTAAGAAAAAGTTCAAGGGAACTCATCAGACTTATTACCATGTGAAGGATATTTCCTTCCTCCATCACGAGCCTTTGGTTGAAATACATAGAGCTATAAGAGTGCATGAGAGAAAAATAAAGAAAGCAGAGGCAAAGAAAAACCATGAACGTGCAAACAGGCTTCGGGAGAAAACACCCAAACCCAAGATAGATAGGATTATACGACAGAGGTTTGTTTGATTTTGTTAATTTCAATTTGTGTATTGTAACTGGTGATGAATGTCCTACTTAATTAATTTTTGTTTGAATTTTAGGTACCCGAGGTTTGTGGATGCACTTGGAGAATTGGATGACTGCCTTACAATGGTGCACCTTTTTGCAGCATTACCTGCGTCTGAGAGTAAAAAAATAGAAGTGGAGTGTGTCCATAAATGTCGAAGGTACATACCTGGAATATTGAAAGCATGGGATTAATACGTAATGAGGAAATCGACCTGTGGATTTATTTTTCCTTTGAAAATAGGCAGTTAAAATACGAGGAATAGTATTCACTAAAGGCCATTGGTGTTTTCTTGCATTTGATGCTTATAATGTGATGTTTATCTTTTGTGTTTATTCTCATTGCTTACTGTTTTTGCAGATTGGCACATGAATGGCAAGCATTCATATCTCGGACTCATAAGATAAGAAAGACATTTGTATCTGTGAAAGGCATATACTACCAGGTACCGATTTTGGCATTTATTAATGTTCAGTAATCTTAATTGTATGTTATGGATTAATTTTGTTGTTTGTGCAGGCTGAGGTCGAGGGTCAGATGATAACATGGTTAACTCCTCATTCACTACAACAGGTTGTATCTGATGATGTTGACATCGTTACCATGCTAAACTTTCTGCAATTATACGAGGTTGGTTATATATTCTTGTTTACTTATTTCTTTTTTCTTCCAAGTTGTCGGCCTTAGTCATCCTGATTAACAGGATTAAAGGTCTGTAGATGTATATTTAATCATATAATGTTTAATTTAGATAAGTTCTGGTGTTGTGCCAGTCAGGATCATGCCCTAACCAAAATTTAATTTAGCTATCTGGACAAGCTCCTAATCCTTTATATTTATCCTTATATTTGGTATACTGGCTTTGATTAATTTCTTAATCTTATATATTGATGCAGCCTCTTCTTAGTTTTGTCAATTTTCGCCTCTATCATTCCATAAATTTGAAGTATCCGCCAATACTTGATCCTCGGCTGGAAGCTCTGGCTGCAGGTACCATTTTTCTCAACTTAAATGGAATTATGGAAATTACTTGTATCTGGTAATTACATTTCTCTACAAATCATGCAGATCTATATGCTCTGTCAAGGTATGTCAGTTCCAATACTGGACTTTCTGTAGTGAATTCTGAAGCTTCTCAAGTTGAATCAGAGCAATTGGAGACCAAGCAAAGAGAGGCAGAGT